GGCCGGTTTGGTTCAGCAGCTACCACACACTAACCTCATGTAGCAACACCCACCTGTGGGGTCCCCTGTGGGAAAGCTTGGCAGAGGAGCTGCGAGCAGCAGCATTTTGCAGGCGCAGGGTATGGTACTGCTCAGTGTGCCTTGAGACCCCTTCTCAGTTAGTCTAATCCAGCACGCCCTAAAAGTAACACCTACAACCACGCAGATCCCAGGGCCTTTTATTGAGTTCTCCACAGATGGGCAGGAACAGTAGGAGGAATGGCTAACGGCTTCGTAGAGGATTAGGCACCTCAGGAAGATGTTGTGGAAGATTAGGCACCATCATTTCAGTGATGGCATGTTGAGTGATCTCTTTCCTTTCTCTTTCAGGTGATATTAGTCTTCCTGCCTGTGTCTCCAAGACCTTGTCAGGTCAGTACATTGTTTCAGAGCTGCCTTTCTAGAGTCTGAATCTATTTCTCTGGAGCTCAGCATCCTCTGGTTTAAAGCAGATATCAGCCTCTTTTTCCATCCTTATGATAGTTTCTAGACAAAAAGCCTTGAAAGCTGCAACCTCAAACTTTTATTCCCACATTGCTGGCAGCATGCTCTGTGCCGTGCTGGTGGGTAAAGTGGCATAGTGCAGGTGACCCTCCAAACTGGTTTGCCTTTTTTGGGGACAGACATGCTGTTGTTACAGAGAATGAGCTGCAGCTAGTACAGTTCACAGTCCATAAGTAATATTTCATTGGAGTTATAGTAAGTGGTACAGCTGCTGCATCCAGCCAGCTCGGGGGCTGACGGCCCCTGTGCCAAATGGGAGCATTTTCCACGGGAGTGATGCCCCTGGGAAGGAGCCTGCAACCAGGTGTTGGCAGAGCGGATGGCAGAGCCACCTTTATAGCAGCTCCAGGAGTTTCTGACCAAGGGGCTTTGCTTTCCACTCGCTTCAAATACAGTAACAACAACATGCTGCAGTTTTGCAGGTATTATCACAGCCTAATTTCTCCACAACACTTCATCATTACCTCTTGCATCTCGTCTTACTAATGAAAGGCTAGATCCAAGAGGACACCCAGGCAGCTACAGATTGAGGCAGATAGGCCTGGCTCAGAGAGACACAAATTTGGACACTTCAGCGTTATTTTTTTTCCTTGCCATGCATGTGGAGTCACCACACCAGCCTACAACCTGCCCGAGAGCACCAGGAGATCAGGGTGGCAGACAAGAGAAAGGACAGGACAAGGGACAACGGTTTTAAACTGAAAGAGCGCAGGTTTAGATTGGACATAAAGGAGAAATTTTTTACGCTTGGTGGTGGTGAGACACTGGAACAGGTTGCCCAGAGGAGTTGTGGATGCCCCATCATTGGAAGTGTTCAAGGTCAGGCTGGACGGGGCTTTGAGCAACCCGATCTGGTGAAAGGTGACACTGCCCATGGCAGGGGGGTTGGACTAGATGATCTTTAAAGGTCCTTTCCAACGCAAACCGTCCTGTGATTCTACAAGGAGATGCCCATCTGGGTGCCCAATTCAGCCTTGCGTAGAAGGACTGGGTGGAGGTTTGGAAGAAGAAGCGGGGCAGCGCTGCCCACTGTCTGCACTGACCCGCGGCTTTGTCCGCCCACCCGTCTTTTTCTCAGCACCCTGCTGGCGTTGGCTGCCTTTCCAGGCTCTGTTTCTTTACAAACTTCTTGCAATCTTGCAAGATTTCAGAGCTTTGAGTGACCTGTGCTCTGAGTTAGGATCTCCTCACCTTGCAGGGCAGGGGGCAGGACAGTAACTTCACGCCCAGACACTGTAGGAATCTCAGAGGGGACAGTTGCCAGCAGCTGAGGGGGGCTGCCACCGATCTCACCTCCCCCAGCTCTGACTTCACGTTCCTGCCCCCTTCCTTGCCCTGCCTCCAGTGCTCCCACCAATGGTGCAGCAGGTACCCATCCTTTTTGGTGGAGGGATGGAGACATGTGGCTGTGGGACAAGGTGCACGGCCATGGTGTCTGCTGGCTTAGGATGCCACGTACCACAGCGTGGCACTGACCAGCGGCTGCTTGGCTGCATGCAGCACAGTAACATGGGCTTGGTGTCTGCTAGGCGCAGCCTTCATGAAGAAGCACAAGACCGAGCTTTGCTCTAGGATGAGGCAGCTCTCCACCATTCTGCTACACTTACGGGATGCAAAAGTCATCAACAGCGATGAAGAAGAGGAGGTGCAAGGTCAAGATACGAGTCACAGGAGGAGCCGAGTTTTGCTGGAGCTAACTGAGAAGAAAGGGCTGGAGGCCCAGGAGCAGTTCTACCAGATCCTCCGGATGAAAGACCCATACCTCATCGCAGACCTGGAGAAGTCCAGCTAGGCCTGGGAAAGCAGACTGCTTTTGCTCCCATTGCTCAGCTTACAGGAGCAACAGAAGGGTAGTCAGGTTTACCAGCACCTGAATCCTGACCTTTCAATGCAAAAATCCATGGTGCAAAGTAGCAATAAGCCTTCTGAACCGCCCGATCTCAGGCCTGCCGTGCTTGGCTGATGGGGTTGCCAGCAGTGGACAACCAGTGTTACGACAGCCTCTGGTGAGAAGCTGCTGGAACAAGAGACCTTGTTTCCCAATCCAGTGCCAATACCTTAGACCTCTCTGCCTCCCTGAGACAGGGCCTCTGCCTCTGCAGAAGCTCCAGGCAGCTGCTAGCAGAGGAGCTCCCATCACAACAGGTACCTCCAGCTCAGCCTCCCCATCCTCAGTGGGGGAACCTCAAGGTTCCTCTTGCAGCTGGAAGAGGGGAGCTGCTTTACCACACAGAGCTGTCTGCAAAGGCCTGTTCTCATGCACAAGCCACAGCAAGCCAGAGATGTTGATACGAACCCATATCAACATCAAACCTTCCCCTCATTTCCCTCCAGCCTAGTTTACCCCAATGACCAAAATTCACTGAAGGAGCAAACAAGCATCCTGACCCCAGCAGCAGCCAGGTGAAGGAGCCCCTCCCAAAGAAGCCACGAAAAATAGCGAAGTTAGGAGATACAGGTTCATGCATCTTCAGGGAAAGTCTGACTCAGTAGCAGCTGCTTTACGTTCAAAAGAAAGCCAGCAGATTATTTTTAAATCACATTCTTCGCATCCATAAAGTCAGTTCCTTTCTGGATCATGTGGATGCCTTCACTGTTGGCATCCTCCTGTTGTTGAACACGCTAGTCAGGGCAGGAGCAGTCTACTCTGATGTCCAGTATCTAAGAAGAGATTTTTTGGGTCAAGCTCAGGTGAAATTCAGACTTGCCTAAGTGGAGACAGCAACTTCTGGAAGCTCAAAGGAGCTTCCAGGGAGTGTTGAGTGAAACGGTCCCCACCACACTCTCTGTGGCTTTGTGGGGTGGAAATGAGGCTGCTGCCTTCAGTATTGCCTTATATTTATTCCTTCTCTTGAACACCTGGAGAGCACATCGCTGCTGAAACATGCTATAAGAGTGTGTCTCTGCTCCATTAAGGGTCAAGGACCTTCAGTGCAATCAGGTATAATATGAAAAGGAGGAAGCTGGCAGCAAGACTATGCAGGGACACAGACCTGACTGCCAGATGACAAGAGAGGCAGTGAAGGGGACCAGACATCACTGCTCACACTAATTCATGAGCTATCCAGAAACCACACTGGGGCTGGCCCTTCCAGGAAGATCAGCCTGGGCTTTGCAAATGCTAAGCGTGTAAACCAGGGGGACCCCGGACATGGGCTGGGAGAGGTGCGGGAATGGACCCTTGGGGACAGGAAGAGGAACCAGGAGGAACACAGTGGGGGGAGGGAGAAAGGGGTATAAAAGGGGCCACTCAGGTATAAACCAGGGCTGGTTTGGCTGAGGCCTGTGCCTGGTCACCACAGTCTGTCCTATACTTTTCTATTTTCTCATTAAATGTATTCTTAACTATTTCTCTGCGTCATCTCGCTCTCTATCCCATGTGAGTGTGTGCTGCAAGGACCAAGTGCCAGCTACTGGTGAGACCTGTGTGTGCATCGGGGACTTGGTGTCACCTACTGGAGTGAGTGGGGTCCCAGTGCAGCTACTGGAGTGAGTGACGGTCTTTACCCTCTAGCCACAGGGTGGGAGGTTGTCCCCAAATGGTGTCCCCAAAACTAGCCACTGTGGGGGACCATGTGAGGCGAATGAGGGGCTCCATGCAGCTGGAGCTGGACCGTGTGTCACAGCCTGTGTGTCTGGTGGGGGGCGAGAGTATCCCCCCCAAACCAGGTGTGGGGGGGGTGTGCCTGTGCATTCACCAGCAAAATTCAAGCTGGACCAGCTGGTGTGTCAAGGACCCATGGGGTGGGTTTGAGGGCTGGGGTCCAGGTGGGGGTGCCGGGGGTACAGAGGGGCCATGCCGGTGCTCAGGGGACACACAAGTGCGCATACGCTTGTGAACCCCAAATGTGTGTGTGCCTGCACTAGTCACCTCCTGCCTCTTCCACCCCAGAGGAGGAGGGGACGGGGCTGG